GTGCTACCACGCCCGGCTGATTTTTTGACTTATTGTAGAGATGAGGTCTCGCTGCCCTGGTGGGTCTCAAACCCATGGGCTCAGTCAATCCACTCACCTCAGCCTCCCAAAGGCGCGGGATTACAGGCTGAGCCACTGAGTCCGGCTCCGGTTTAACATTTTCAATCAACCTTCTAGAATTACAAAACAGCTTGTTTCGTATATTTTTGCTCAAGTATATTGGAAACTAGGGCATAAAAGTTTCTTATTCTACTCTGCCATATATATTTCAATATTTTCACTGAAGTATTTAAAATTTTTGGCCAAAGTGTTTGCTCTGTTATCGGAGTTCATCAGGGAGGGACAGGATGGCAACGGACCTCTTGGTCTCGAGGGACTTCAACCTGATCTGAGTCGTCTTCCTCCTTGGCATGAGTGAATCTGGAGGACAAGGTCGAATGGGAAGACACGTACAGCTGGGCCGCCCGGGCAAACTCATCCCGCTCACGGCTTCGCTCCCACTCTGTCATACTGGGATCCAGACAGTGTTCCAGGGCATCTATGGTACAGAGAACAAGAAATCATTTCACTTCTAGAAAAAACACTGGGCTCAAAGGAGAACATAGGGTAGACACCACTGCACCCTGTGTATTTCATCACAGGAAACACAAATCCTTGTCCTCAGCTTTATGATGACGGGGCTGGGCAGGGAAGGTACTTGGTAGGTAATAGTATTCTTTCCTTCAAAATGGCGCTTGCATTGAATTCTGTCTACCAAACATAATAGAGAAAAACATTTGGGAGGCTAACGCGTGGTTAAATCTTCAGAAGCAACGAACTCATCACCACTCCCAGACAATGGTAAGTTCATCCCAACTATATCTATGCATCTGGGCAGAAAAACACTATTTCCTTAAACTTTTTAAAAAATTTAACAAATAGACATGAGTAATGTGGACTGTTAGGACAGAGTAAAGGTACAGTCAATGGACTTTATATTCCCCAAAGATCTGCTTTTGAAAAACAATCCCGCTGGGTACAGTGGCTCAAGTCTGTAATCCCAGCACTTTGGGAGGTAGAGGCAAGAGGATTGCCTGAGCTCGGGGGTTCAAGACCAGCCTGAGCAACATGGTGAGACCTCGTCTCTACAATAAATCAAAAGATTAGCCAGGCGTGGTGGCACATGCCTGTGGTTCCAGCTACTTGGAAGGCTGAAGTGGAAGGGTTGGCTGAGCCCAGCAGGTCGAGGCTGCGGTGGTTGTGAGCATTCCACTGCACTCCAGCCTGGGCAACAAAGTGAGACTCTGACTCAAAAAAAAGAGAAAAACAATCCATTGAAATAACCCTATAAGGACTACTGCACCTAACAACAGTCTCTTTCCTAATTCTTGCCATGTTTACTTCATAAATCAGAGTGACTTTCTCTCCCATGTCATTTCCAACAATCGACTATCTTTTTAAGTCAAACTTGAGACTATGATTTAAAGCTGGATGGTTGGGATTTTAAGAAAAAGTGTGAGATGCTGGTGTGAAACATGAAATGCAACACTTACAGAGGTCAAGTATTTGCAAACAGCAAGTGGCCACTGCTAAAGCATGTTCTCTAAATTGCTATCTTTGAGCCTGAGATACAGAGAAACACAAGCCAATTGTTCTTGCTTTCTGAGGTCAAGAACCAAGGCCTGAGACCTTTGGACTGTTTGCAGCAGGATAAGGCAAAAACACTGGCAGAACAGGATTCCTCAACTTTTTTTTTTTTCTTGAGTCGTTGTCTTACTGTTACCCATGCTAGAGTGCAGAGGCTCACGACCACCACAGCCTTGACCTGCTGGGCTCTGGTGATCCTTCCACCTCAGTCTTCCAAGTAGCTGGGACTACAGGCGCACACCACCATATCCGGTTAATTTTTGACTTATTGTCTCACCATGTTGCCCAGGCTGGTCTCGAACCCCTGGGCCTGGACAATCCTCTCGCTTCTGCCTCTCAAAGTGCTGGGATTAGAGGTGTGACCCACTGCACCCAGCTTGGATACCTCAACTTTAAATCTGGAACCGAGATGAAAACAGTGACAGCAATGGTAGCATTCTCACTCTTCTCACCCTACCTGAGACATGGGAGACCCAGGCACGGCAACTCACCTTTTTGACCCTGTTTCATATGCACTAAGAACTCTTCATATCGTTTTTGCTTTTCCGGATCTTTTGCAAAAGGTTTGAAGTTGCTGGCTCTTGTAGTGACTGTCCCATCACCCAGTGCCATGTGCCAAGAGCAGTGTCCAACACCTGGAGAGGAGGGCTGAGGTCTGCTGCTTGGGGCGTTCTGTGCCAGACTCCTGGCCTTGAGTTGAGCTGCCTTGAGGTCAGTGGCCTGCTTCATTTCTTTGATTCTCTCTTTATCTTTTTGGGATAGAAATTCTAACACTGACGCAGTTGAGCCTAAATAAAAACAGCAATGAGAGATGAAAAGTATAAGACAACTGTATTTACATTTCTCTGTGCATATGTGTTCAATATCACAAATTGACTTAATTGGAGATGAGTATTTTTTTTTTTTTTTTGAGTTGGAGTCTCACTCTGTCGCCCAGACTGGAGTGCAGTGACCGCTTCCGGCCACCGCAGCCTTGACCTGCTGGGCTCCGGCGATCCCTCTGCCTCAGCCTCCCAAGTAGCTGGAATTATAGGCATGCGCTACCACGCCCAGCTGATTTTTTTTTTTTTTGATTTATTGTGGAGATGAGGTCTCGCTGCCCAGGCAGGTCTCGAACCCGCGGGCTCAGGCAATCCACTCACCTCAGCCTCCCAACGGCACGGGATTACAGACTGAGCCACCGAGCCTGGCTTGGAGATGAGTATTTTACGTTTAGTATTTTACGTTTAGTATTTCACTTATGTTCATATCTCCCTGAGAACTAGATAGTAATAAAGTCAGAAGACTACTATTTCACAGTTGGCATTTATTGGAGGTTAACACTGGGACGTTTCAGGGCATGGGAATGGGCCTAGGATAAGGAACCCGACCTGGCTCCAGACCTCTGGGCTGCAGGGGCCAGGACTGCTACCATCCTGCCAGCACAAGTCCTGGTTCCAGTCACAGACGCTCAGTGGTGCTGACTCCACCCCAGGACCTGGCCCGGGGGCTGGAGGACAATGCAGATGAGGTCCCACCTCTCACTAGTGAGGGCAGCGGATAGGAAGAAGCTGAAGAACAACACTCTAGCCCCCAACAGAGGAGCGCTATGGAGAAAAGCAGAACGATGGGACCAAGGTTGACCTGGGTGAGTGGGCTGGTAGTAAGGGCGGCAGGGAGAAGAGAGGAACATCCGAGACAAGTCCTAAGTAAGGAAAACAAAAAGAGCCAGACTCACAAAAACACAAGAGAGGAACAGAGGCCAAGGAAACAGTAGAGACACCAAGATTTCGAGGTGGTGGCACGGGCAGCACGTTTAGGGGTAGAGAGGAGACAGGGGAGGCAAGACTGGGGAGGGTGAAGGGAAAACGGTAAATGACGTGTCTTGAAAGGCAGGCCGGGGCTGGATCGCAAGGGCTTGGGGGAGTCGGGATGCTTCTGTAGTTACGGGAGTTCTAAGGGAGGGACTGGCATGACTGGGTCCCCGAGCTGCTTTTGAGAACAGACTGGAGAGGGGAGGGAGGGGAAATCAGGAGACCAAACGGGTGGCTACTGCAGGAGTCCAGACAAGAGGTGATGGGGCATAGACTTGGGGCAGGGAAGCCACAGAAACACAGAGAAGGGGATGGAGTCCTGCACGCACTGGGGACAGAGCTAAGAAGACTTGCTGAGGGACTGGGCAGGGCCTGGCACGGAGGGACACAGAGGAGCTGGAATTCGGATTCCTAGTTCTGGTCTGAGCGATGGGTCCCTGGGGTGTAATTCACTGAGAGGGGAAGACTGGAGGAAGAGGAAAGGTAAGAAGGAAGCGGGAAACCAGGAGTTCTGCCTTGGTTGATGATGTCCGAGATTCTGTGACGTTCTCAAGTGGCAACGACACACAGCCTGAGCCCCCGAAAGCCCGAGTCCACCTCCCACAGTGAGCCTTTCCGCGACGCTCTACGGGGAGTCTCCACATCTTCCCACACTTTCAGGCATATCCATTCCTCTTAGGTTTTCAGGAGAAGAGCTATATCACCCTTTCTCCGTGAGGAAAAAAAGCAGACTTTCCCAGCCTGTGCAGAGAAGGCAAAGGTACCTTAGTCACCTTCCCAGATAATTATCAAAAGTCTGAAAATAGTTAAGTTCACAACAAGGGTTGTGATTTTAATGACACCACCCAAACTGAAGGTAGAAAAGCAAGCCTTAAGAAGTGAAGAATATGTACACTATTTCATATGCTATTTACAATAAATAATGCTATTCCCACAGTTTGGGAATACAAAATCATGTAAAAAACTTGGCGAGAGGCTGGGCTTAGTGGCTCAGCCTATAATCCCAGCACTTTGGAAAGCTGAGGCGAGTGGATTGCCCGAGTCCGCGGGTTCAAGACCAGCCCAGGGAACTTGGCGAGACCTTGTCTCTACAATAAAATAAAAAATTGGCTGGGCATGGTAGCATGTGCCTATAGTTCCGGATACTTGGAAGGCTGAGGCGGAAGGATCACTGGAGCCCAGCGGGTCGACGCTGGGATGGCTGTGAGTGTGGCGACAGAGTGAGACTCCAACTCAAAAAAAAAAAACTTTGGCGAGAAAATAAAAACTTTCCAGCTGGGCATGGTGGCTCACGCCTATAATCTAAGCACTATAGTCCCAACTACTTGGGAGGTTGAAGCAGGAGGATCGCTTGAGCCCAGGAGTTTGAGGCTGCAGCGAGCTGTGATTTTGCCTCTGCACTCCAGCCTGGGTGACAGAGTAAGAGACAAAAAAAAGAAAAGAAAAAGAAAATAATAACTTTCCATTTTGATAACTCAGGTTATTTGAAATGTAATGATTCCAATCTTCTCCTCAGCACATACCTTGAATAGGCGTCTCTCCTAGCAGTTCCGCCCGCTTGGAGGCATTCAGTTGGTGCTTACTATGTGTCACTGGGTCATGTACTGCCTTACCCGCTGACTCCGATAATACCTGAAGTAAGTGGGAATTCTCAGAAGTAGCAGCCACCACAGGTCTGAAATAATGCACCGGTCGATAGTCTCTTGGAAGCACAGGAGGTGGATAAATCTTAACAAAATAAAACCCAAAAAATACAGGCTGCAAGAAGATCATGTTTGATTTAACCAAGAAAACCCATCACCTCTGAGCATCACGAATCCTGCCCCTTCCCTAGCTAAAATTCAGCAGGTTGGAAGCACTGCAACAGCCTGGTCAAGTGTCCGACCAGTGTCCACTCAGATTTGAAGGGCTGCCTGGACCCCAGTGTTCCAGTGGTCAGACATTTAGAATATCCCCCGCCTGCTCCAACAGAGAGATGCTGGCATGCATGCTTTATACAATAAGAGCAATCACAATAATAACAGAGCATACAACATGATGACCTACATGCAGACTGGCTCCTGTAAACCCAGAACCTCAGAAAAGCATGATTCAAAGCATGGAAAAAATAATAACTTCGTATACTTCTAAGTTCAGAATTATTTTTTCTGGTTATGTTTCAGTTCTAAATTGAAGCTTTAGGCCTTATTTTTGATCCAAGGTGTTTTTAATTTAAAAGTGGACTGCACTGAAATTGAAATATTATTTGGGAAATTTGGATATTTTTAATACTGACAGGTATTAATGATAGCATAACAGGTAAGTTAAAAGAAAGTATTAGATATTTTTAAGTAACTGCACTAAATGATCTCCCGTGCTCTGGGTCTAACAAGCACATATTTTTGGCCAGTCCCATTTAAGCAGTTTTCTAGATTTTCAGGTGCCTGAAAGCTGTAATCAAGCCAACTCGAACTCTGTAGCAGTGAAGCACCAGTCCTTCTCTCCTCTGGTTCTGTCTCAAGAGCACACTGAACTCCCTTGAGGACTGTAATAGGACTGATGCCCGCACCGTGCTGCACAGAAGTCTCATCTAATGGGAGTTTCCCAAGCTCCCCAGGGGTTGTAAGTGCTGCTGGGTTGTAAGTGCTGCCTGATAAAAGCCTATGAAAAAGTGCTATTATCACTGTCAGGAAATCCTATTTTTTATCATCTTAGCCTGATCGCCTTCTTGAAACACACTGACTCCCAAATCAGCCAGAAAACTTCCCTTGTGGAGAGTGGCAGAGAAGAGGTGTGTGTCCTTAACTCTTCTCATGTCCTCCATTAGAGTGAAAGCATTTCTCTCACTGCCAAGTCACTGCTCTGTGTGGCCTCTCGACCTGTATCTAGAGAACTTGCCTGTCTGAGAGTCCAGGGTACACATCCCTCCTCTGAATCATTCCTACCCAAGTCCTGCTCCAGTAAGGAGCCTCCCAGGAAGCCCTGGTACTTGGTCTCTGTATTTAAGGCTCTCTGCCCCACTACATTGTTTTTGTTTTTGTTTTTGAGACAGAGTCTCACTCTCTCACCCAGGCTGGAGTGCAGTGACACGATCTCAGCTCACTGTAGCCTCAACCTCCTGGGCTCAAGCAATTCGTTCCAGTAGCTGGTATCATAGGCATGCACTGTCATGCCTGGCTAATCTTTCTTTCTTTCCTTCCTTCCTTCCTTCCATCTTTCTTTTTTGTGGAGACAAGGTCTTGCTGTGTTACCTAGGCTAGCCTGGAACTCCTCAGCTCAAGCGATCCTCTCACCTTGGCCTCCCAAAGTGCAAGGATTACAGGCACGAGAGAGCCACCACACCCCCACACCCGGTCATAATTATTCTTTTTTTTTTTTTTTTTTTGTAAAGACAGAAACTTGCTTTATTGCCCAGACTGATCTTGAATTCCTAGCCTTAAGAGATCCTCCTGCCTAGACCTCCCAAAGTGCTGGGATTATAGGCATGAACCACTATACCCCAGCTACGTTATATTTGTGTGTCTGCCACCCTCACTGGTTGGGAACTAGTTGGGGTCAGGATTTAGTCCTTTTTATCTTTGAAGCCTAAGTCAAGTGAGTACTTCTCCACCATTTTCAAACGATGCTTCCTTTCCAATATGTAAGAGACCCAAGTCCTCCTTTAATGTTATTGGACACTTCTGGTGACAATAGCAGCATACTCTGTACCAAGCACTGTTCTAAATATATTCTGCTTGCTGTTATAACACATTAACTACCACAAGGAAACAAATCAAAGTTGCCCCCTGCCTCCACTGTTCTGGAGAACTGCAGGCCAAACCTTAGAGGTGCTGGATAAAAAATGAAAAGCTGATTACCATGTGGAACAATCTGAAACAGGAATGCTGACAAGGCCGATGGCCAGGCACCCCTCCTGAGCTGGCCAGCACCCCAACTCCCCTGAGTGTGTGCTTGTACACATGTGGCTTTGATGGGATTAAGGAAGAGCACCATTTGGCCCAAGGGCAGATCTTCACTTGCAGCTGTTTCAACATCTCACATAAACAAGACTATCTGCAGAGGCACCAGGAGCTCTCCTCCACTCTGCTCACTGCATGCAGCTTGTTTCTCAGTAGGCCTCTGCTAAGGACACAGGGAACCCCACCAAAGCTAGCTCAGAGCTTTGGGAGGAGTCAGGGCTGTGGATTAGTATGGCTCTCTGATAGCTTTCTACTTTTCTTAGGTAATACTGCTCCGAGAATTTTTTTTTTTTTTTTTGAGTTGGAGTCTCACTCTGTAGTTCAGGCTGGAGTGCAGTGGCACGCTCACAGCCACCGCAGCCTCGACCTGCGGGCTCAGGTGATCCTTCTACCTCAGCCTTCCAAGTAGCTGAAATTACAGGCATGCGTCACCACGCCCAGTTAATTTTTTAAAATTTATTGTAGAGATGAGGTCTCGTCAAGTTCTCCAGGCTGGTTTTGAACCTGTGGGCTCAGGCAATCCTCTCATCTCAGCCTCCCAAAGTGCTGGGATCATAGGCGTGAGCCACCATGCCCAGCTGTCCCTAGAATTATACCAATTTCATTCTCCCACTATGTTTCTAATGAGTGTCTCTTTTTTTTTTTGAGTTGGAGTCTCACTCTGTCCCCGAGGCTGAAGTGCTATGGTATGCTCATAGCCACCACAGCCTCAACTTGCTGAGTTCAGGCAATTCTCTCACCTCAGCAACCCAAAGTGCTGAGATTAAAGGTGTGAGCCACCATGCCTAGCTCAACTAACGTTTTGATTTATTGCAGAGACAGGTCTCACCAAGTTGCCCAGGCTGGTCTCAAACCCCCGAAGTCAGGCAATCCTCTCACCTCTGCCTCCCAAAGTGCTGGGATTATAAGCATGAGCCACTGTGCCTGGCAATGTGTGTCTCTTTTAGTGAAAATAACCACTTGCTTTTAGTTTGGATTTAAAATGTTAGCAATTAGATGTTTGAACATGTGACATTTCTAATGCAGTGTTTTCCTAGACAATCACTAGTAACCAGGCTGTTGCTTTTTGAAAACAGAATTTACTTATATAACTCAGATTATATAGCAGCAGATATTTTAAGCATGAAATCAGTTTTGTAAAAAATAGTTTTCTTACTTTCTTAGAAGATAACGGTTTAGAAGCCAAGGAAAATCCATCCAAAATTTTGCCAATGTATCGAAGATCTTTCTCTGATTCTGCAAAATGATGTCATTGATTGATTCCAGAAATAGAGACAATTAGAGTAAGACACAACATGTCAGCTTTTTATCTCCAAGGACATAAACAGGACGTGTCATATGTGATATCACCCAAAGGCAGCAGTAAAAGGGAAGAATGAATGGCATGCAAAGTCCTCACACCTCTGTTGACTCAGTGACTGGAGACCCAGCCCACACCACCCTTGGCCGATTAGGCTGCCTGGGACATGAGACTGTGGCCCTCTAAGACAAGTACCTCGACATTATTTCTAGAAAAGGTACCTGACATACTAAGCCAAGGGGCACCAAAGGGTATACTCTGTAGAGTAAAAGATCTCCAGAAAAACCAAAAGGACAAGTATGGGTAAAAATAAAAGTCATAACCGTGAGAGAGTCGTTTGCAAAACTAGGTGAAGAACCACGGGAGACACCTCACAATTTCCTTAGCAACAATCCAAATAAGGCACAAAAGGCAACCAGGTCAGCTGTAATCTAATCTTAGTACACGTTAAAAGGTACTTTTGTCCATTTCACAAATGAAATGCTACCAAGAGATAAAGCTCACAAGCTTAGGAAACTGGCCACTGCCCTCTGACTTGGGGCTGAATCGTCCACTGGTCATGGAGATAGCACCCCCAACAAAGGCCCTATGATTTGATCTCAAGGATTTCCTGCTCATGGTGGTTATGTTAAAAGTATTGTGCTTTCAGCCGGGCTGGGTGGCTCAGCCTGTAATCCCGCGCCTTTGGGAGGCTGAGGTGAGTGGACTGCCTGAGCCTGCGCGTTCAAGACCTGCCTGGGCAACTTGGCGAGACCTCATCTCTACAATAAATCAAAAATGAGCTGGGC